ATGGAATGATGCACAGAACAATGCTTTAGGAATTCAGAAGAAGAAAACATTATTGTGGACAGGATGGACAGAAAAGGTTTGACTTCATCTGGCTTTTACTAAGCAATGGGAAGGAAGGAAGGGAGGAACGGAGGATCCATAAAGCACCAATAGGTGCTTCTTATTGTTGTGCTAAGTGCTTTAGAAATTATCTCATTTAATCCTCACAACAACGCTGAGAAAGTAGGTACTCTTAATCATATTTTACAGTTGAAGAAACTGAGGCAGAGAAAGGTTAAGTGACTTATCCAGAGGCCAGTTTTAAACTCAAGTCTTCTTGACTCCAAGCCCAGCATTCCATCCACTGCCCCACTTAGCTGTCAGTAAGACTTAAATAACTGGAGAACAGTGGGGTAGGACGTTCTAGGCAGGGAAAACAAATGTGGGAAGATGGGATTGGGCAAAGTGTGGTAGGGAACATTAAATCATTTGGGTCATAGCAGAGAGTGCATCTAATGAAGTAGTGGGAGATGAAGTATGTCATGATGTAGGAAGTATTTAATGACCAGAGACTATCTATGTGTGTGTGTATATATATATACCTACAGAAAATTTCATATTTTTGTCAGGTTAGTGGATGTGTCATAACATATCATATGGACTGAGTTCTAATTGTTTGGATCTCCTACAAAAGTGGCCTCATCCTCTCAGTTCCAGACCTCTAGAACAGCTTCAACTTTGCACCAGAGAAGGAAGTAGTGAAGTGACAAATTCCAGTGGTACAGATACAACTCCCTGCAGATCCTTCCCTCGTTACTGGGAGTGACCTACCAAAATCTCAAGTAGCAGAAAAGTCCTCTAGAGCTATTTAAACAAACATTTAGTAAGCACTTCCTGAGAGCACAAAGATATGGAATAGAACAGTTCCTATTCTCAAGGAGCTTGAAATTTCAAAGGAGAAAGGACATGTACAAAGGTAACTCGATGACAAGGTAAAGTGTGCTAAGTGCAAGGAGAGACCTAGAGTTCTGTGATTTTAAGAGGAGAAATAAATTCCAGCTTAGAGACTAAGGAATAATAAGGAATACTTCATAAAAGAGGTGACATCTGAGAAAGAGGGAGGGAGGGAGGGAGGATCCCTCGATCTATGATTTCATCAGTGTGTGAATTCCTCCCTCCACCGAAGGACCGCAACTAAACTATCCATAACTCAGTAGAGAAATACAAGGCAGTTGCCTGAGACTCTGAACTTAAGTGACTTGCCTATGGTCACACAACTAATGTCAAGGTGAGATTTGTAGCCAGATTCAAATATGACTTCAGGTCTAGTCCTCCATTCACTACACCAGGCTTCTCTTCAACTGTTATTTATATAGCGAGTTAAAGCTTGCAAAATGTTCTACATACATTATTAGCTCATTGAATCTCACAACCCTGTGAAGTAAATACTACAAGTATTGTTACCCCCATTTTACAGATGAAGAAACTGAGGCACACAGATTAAGTGATGCTACATTAAGTGTGACCACAGGGTCACAGCTAGCAAGTTGTTTGAATCAGCATTTGAACCCAGGTCTTTCTGATTCCAAGTCCAGGACTAAACCAAGCTGCCTGCCTAAAGGGAAAAGTGCCAGAGATAAAAGGTCACTAGTTACGAATAGCCTATTTTGAAGTAGTCTGGGGCAGAGGTGATGAAGGGCTGAAAGATGAAGGACTTTTTGAGGGTTTTTCAGGCCTTCATTACCTCTGGCCAAGACAGTTGAAGTAGCCTTCCAATAGTGGGTCTCCCTGTCTCCAATCTAACCTCTATAAATTGCCAAATTAATATTCCTAAAACACAGGTTTGACAATGTTGGTCCCTTGTTCAAAGGTGAGTCCCTATTGCCTGAAGGTAAAATAAAAATCCCTCTTTTTGGCTTTCCCAGTCTGGTTTCAGCCTACCTCTCTAGACATATTACTTCCTTTCCCACCCTCAGTGTTTTAGGCAAAGAGTCTTCTTGCTGTTTTCCAGAATGTGATATTCCATCTCTCATCTCATGCCTGGAACACACTCCCTCCTCACTGAACCTCGGAGAATTTCTAATTTCCTTAAAGGCTCAGTTCATGTGCTACCTCAGACATGAGAACTTTCCTTATTTCCCCCAGTTGCTAGAATTCCCCCCCCCCCAAGAAAGTCTATTCACTTTGTACATATTCTCTATTTACTTCTTTCTGTTGGTGGTGTTTCCCCCATTGGAATGTAAGGAAGGCATGAATTGTCCTGGTTTTGTCTTTATAGCCACAGACCTAGCCCAGAGCCTAGCATGAGCTGGTGCTTAATAAAGCATCATTTGTTGAATAAATGAATGGTTGAATGTAATGAATGAATGAATTGTCATGGGGGAGTGTAAAGGAAGTGATAGATGCAGATCTGTTGCAGGGGTAGCTATTGTCAGGACACAGGTCCTGACCTTGGGTGATTGAGAGAAGGATGGAAGAGCCATTCATAGAAATCAAGGTTGGAGAAAGGGCAGATTGGAGGAGGGGAGTAGTGGGCAGGAAGATAAGGAGGTCATAGGATCTTGGAGGCCTTCAGTCCCACCTTCCCCCATTCCCAACTCCCCCGTTGTGTAGATTAGGAAACTTAGGTTTAGAAACACGGTGAATTTGAGATCCTGGCTGGGTCAGCTCAGCAAATAATATGTGTTAAAGTGCTTTTCAAACTGTGAAGTACTATTATAAGTGGAAGTTACCATTTATAACGATGATATAATGATGACGATGGCATTACCATCATCGTCATAATGGTTAGGTATCTAGGAGGAAGTTAAAATCCAGAATTACACAAGCCAAAACTGGAAAGAAACTCAGATCAATAAATATTAAATGCCTGTTCTAGCATGTCTGGGAATACAAAACCAAAAATAAAATAGCCCCTGCCCTCAAGAAACTTACATTCTTTTGGGTAGGAGCAAGGGATACATTCAGACAGATAATAAATACAAGGTTGTTCTGAAGAAAGATAACTCTATTTTTGAAGGAAGAAGTGGGTTCCAGTAGCCTGAGGATAAAGTACCAACCCTTCTTTTTGGCATTGGAATGCCAGCCCAGTGGAACATGATCTGAGCCTTGAGGGAAAATGAAGATTATTAGAAGAAGAGATAAAAGGGATACAGGGAACAGCCTTGTACAAAGGCATAAGATGGGAAATAGAATGCAAAGTTCAAGGAATAACTAGTAGTCCAGTTTGGCTGGAATGTAGACTACATGAAGATAGGGGATGATATGAGATAACACCAATAAGGTAGGTCAGAGCCAGGCTGAGAAGTCTGTATTTTATTCTAGAGAAAATAGGAAATCATTGACAAGTCTTGAGGAGAATTACATAGTCAGCCCTATGCCTTCGGAAGATTATTTTGGCAGCTATGTGGAGGAGGAGGGTGAGGGGAGAGACTGGAAGCAGCGGGATCAATTAGGTGGCCACTGCAATAGTCTAGGACAAATGAAAAAGTAATAAGGGCCTGAACTGGGGGGTGGGGCAGTGACAATGTATGTGAAGAGAAGGTAACGGATCTTGGAGATACAATCAACAACTTGGCAACTGATTGAATACGGAGAATGTTAGAGGGAAGACTCTAGGCTTATGAACTGGATGACGGCCATCCCTCAATATCTGACAATGGTGCCCTCAAAAACTCAGGAGGCTTGGAGAAGAGAGGTGAGTTTAAGGAGAAAGGAAGTTAATTCCATTTGGGGCATGTTGAGTTTGAGAAACTG